TGCAAAAATTGTTGATAAATTGCTTGTGACGATCATCATTTATATGTTGCTTTGGATAAAATGGTCTGCTAAATGAAAAAAAACTAGATATTTTTTAATATAATTTAAAGCCACTTTATATGGCCACATATTTGTAACATCCAAAGACACACAATAACTTTTAAGTAATTAAAGTACTAGTATTAATTGTCTAATAAATAGTGCTGTCAAACCGATTAATTAAAATGAATCGCATCTAACATAACAAAAAATGTTTGTATGTATATATGTATGTGTGTGTGTGTGTGTGTGTGTGTGTGTGTGTGTGTGTGTGTGTGTGTGTGTGTGTGTGTGTGTGTGTGTGTGTGTGTGTGTGTGTGTGTGTGTACATGTTTTTCTATCTCGGTGGGGACTTAAACCTAAATGCACACAGACTCATGGGGACTCGTGTCACTGTGGGGACCTAAATTGAGGTCCCCATGGGTAAACACGCTTATAAATCATACAGAATTATTATTTTTATAAATGTAAAAATGCAGAATGTTTCCTGTGATGGGTAGGTTTAGGGATAGGGGCAGTGTAAGGGGATAAAATATACAGTTTGTACAGTATAAAAAACATTATGTATATGGAGAGTCCTCACAAAGATAGTAAACCAGACATGTGTGTGTGTGTGTGTGTGTGTGTGTGTGTGTGTGTGTGTGTGTGTGTGTGTGTGTGTGTGTGTGTGTGTGTGTGTGTGTGTGTGTGTGTGTGTGTGTGCGTATATGTAATTATTTATGTGGATATACTGTATATATATATATATTTACTATATATATATATATTTACAAACATTTATGTTGGATGCGAATAATCAATTGTACAGCACTACTAATACATTTTTATCATAAAGTTCCTGTAGCTTAAATGGTAAAACAAACATGGGTTTTTCTTTACACATACAGAAACAATGTACAGCTTAAATGTAAAGGTAAGTGTAAATGCAAGAAGTTAACTTGAGGCAAGGTACTCACACACTCCTTCTGTCTTGTCAGCGGTGCGCGTCCAGGCCACCTGTCGCGTCTCCATGATGACCTGCACAGTAAGCCTCTCCATCCTCTGTCTGTACACTGTCATCACTATTCCCATCTCCAAGTCCCGCTTAATGAGACTCTTCTTGTACTCAGTCAGGTCTCCCTGCTGAGTGCGGCCTGCCATCTCTGCCTTTGGTCACACACTGGCAAAAACAAACGGCCACAGGTGGTCACTTATTGCAATCTGCGTGGCAGCAGGTACACATGTAGTCTCATGGTGCATATGTAGATACTTGGCAGGTATGCTTTCTGTGCAACTGAATTATATGGCTGAAAATGTCTGTACTTTGAATATCAAAACACAACAGAATATTTAATATTCAAATATTTCAAGATACTGCATGGAACAAATCAAACATTAAATGAAATGAAAATTCTGTCATAATTTTCTGATAATTTACTCAACAATTTACATGTTGTTTCAAAACCTGTAGGCTATGACTTTCTTTCTTCTCCGGAACACAAAAGAAGATTTTTTTTTTCATTGGCCATTCAATGGTTTGCAGTGACTTTCATTATATGGACAAAAAAGGTTGAAACAATTCATTTTTGTGTTCTGCAGATGAAATAAATTCATTCAGGTTTTGAAACAGGTTTGGGACGACATGAGGATGAGTGATGAATATCTTGAAATACTATCTAAATTAATCCATCGTGTTGTGAAATGCATGGAAGTTATGAATGGATTATACAGCTACTGTTTCTATAGAAAACAGCAAATACATTCACTGAAGCTTTTTAAGTTGTCAAATGAAACAAGTGCTCATTAAACATAATTTGCTAGAACAATTGATTCCTCTTTACAGTTTGGGGTTTAAAGAAGTACAATTTGTGAGGAAGACAATGTTAATACTGTAATTTCCCAATCATGCATGTCAGCTCTGATAATTGAAATTATCACAACCTAAAGAGGAATATCACCATCATTTATCTGTGAATAAACAGTACACCTTTCAGAAACAAGTCAGTTTTCCAAACTGTTGAACCATGGCAAGCAAAATAGATGTTTCATGTCTCGTTCCCCATAGAAGCCAATATTTGCATTGCAAATGAGTAGCGGAGTACTGTGGAAGTGTCCCAAAGCAAGTCCCTCTTTAAAAGTAAATCATTAACCCAGTAAACTCAATGTGGTTTCCATTCAGAAACCTTTGTAAATCACCTTCACACCCTCAATTCTTCCATTTTGAGCTGTCTGTGTGAACGAGAGATCATTCTCTTTGTCTTTCCTAACATTAAAAGACAAGCACCAAGATAAAATAACCAACTAACAAACCAATTTTTTTTTTACACAAATGATAACAAGATAAGAATAAATGAAGATATGTTGCTCTACAGTGTCAGAAAATGTATATGCCACATCTTGTCTTTACTTGTACAATACGTAATTGTTATCATTTACAACAAGAGGCAGAGGAGGCACACCTGCTTTTGCAGAATTAGCTTTTTTTATAGATCACGGATATGTATAGAACAATTTTGTTGCAAATATAATTTTCAAGTAACAGTTTTCCCATTGATGATAAATGGGAAAACTAAAGGAGCTTCAACTCATATTTTTACCGCCTTAAACTTGATCAGTGTATTTTTCATAAACAAAAATGTAGGCCTTTAAATCAAATGTAGCCTACACATAGCCTACATAAACAGCTACTGTAATACCCCGTAATGTAAACAACCAAACATCCAAATTAGAAAATACTTACCCAAGTTTAGAGAAGACAATCAATGACCACTTCGAAAACCGCCTGCTGTAGTCTAACTAATTCTCATTTTAAAAATAAAAAATATCCTAATGCAGTATTGAAAAAATCTCTATATCAGTCTAGTCACAATGTGGTCAGTTCCTCTATTCGCTTAACACAAGGAAGTGAAGAGAACATTATGAGAATAAAAAAAATCCGGAAGCAAAAATATCTATGCAAAATCCCCAGGGAAGAGATAGCGATGTGTGTACCACGCTGTCAAACTTTTGTGTCTTTGTGCCTGTGTAAATGTGCCAAAAAACGTGAGATCCGGATACTGGAGAAGCGTTTATTTCTGTGTGTATTCAGGTTGTTTCAGTCCCATGTTGCCCGTGTTGACGTAATCATGACATCACGAAGTTCTTCTCATGTTTTGAAGTGTTTTATGTTCATTAACAACCCATCAATGACTCTGTAAAAACTAAATGTATGACTCTAAATGCAAACGGAATGCCTTAAAGCAAAGTATAAAAATGGACATACTTTCTAAGTAAACTGTTGAGGAGGTGATATGAAAATGAAAGCACCTGTTGCTGGCAGCTGGGCGCTGGCTGTCAGGAGAAAAATGTGTCGTCCAAAGTTTTGTTAATGTTTGAGTAATGAATGATTGGTCTTATTCTCATGTTTATTTCTTTAAACATGCGAATGAGAAAAAGGCTCCGTAGCCAAGAATGTCGAATTCAAGTCGCGTTCTTTTCTTACTTTCCAGCGCGCGCATTCCACTGTTCATTTGCATTAAGAATGCATGAAAAAATTCAGACTAGAGGGCTGTTGGGTAACATATATTTATCATCTGGATGCAAAAACTACAAGGTATTAGGCTACCATGGTAATCCACTGTAAATATTTAATCCACTTCATCTTGAAAAAAGTTGAATAGGCTTTATGCACAGCTTCACTACTTCCTGAACTTCAGCCAGCCCTTTGTTTCCTGTCTGTCATTATTGGACAAACTGATTAATCCAGGTGTGCCTGATTATTGTTACTGAGGCCAGGCACACCTGGATTAATCAGTTTGTCCAATAATGACAGACAGGACACAAAGGGCTGGCTGAAGTTCAGGAAGTAGTGAAGCTGTGCATAAAGCCAATTTCGACCTAAAAACCAAAGTGGTTCACTTATTTAATATCCATGTTGTATAGTACATTATTAGGATTGTTCATTGTTTAATACTATTAAAAACAGTGAGTGACTGCAAAAGAGCCATTACTAAAAGCAGCAAACAATAAACAGTAATCCGCATTTTATTAATACAGATGCATACTGGAAACTCAAGTAGGCCTACAGCATCTATCAAAGTTACAGTTTACTGTCAAATGCTAAATTATTGTGGAAACAAAGTTCCATTTTTTTTTATTACCATTATTATAGCATGGTTTTGTTATTTTCCATGGTGAATCAATAGTGATTCTTTTACATTTTAACAATTCATAAGAAAATAATAATAACTAAAATGTACATTTCCTGAAGAAAATGTGAGTGGTGCTTGCAGTGGCAAAACTCAGCACTCGGTTGCTAGGGTATGGATACACAGTTACCATGGTAATATTTACAGACTGGTTTCCCAACCAAAACAAACGAACCCACCTCCATGTCTATATGATATTCTGGTGCTGAGATATAGCTTATTCATGTGTTTGTATGATTGCTAGGGTACTCTTTATGGTAACTAGGGTTTGCTTATACAGTTTATGGGTTGATATTCAAAGACTGTTTGCCAGTCTGAGTCGAAAAAGGCCAACTCCGTGTTTCTATAATGTTCCGGTGCTGAGATTTTGCTTGTTAATGTTGTTTAATGGTTGCTAGGGTTCTGTAACTGGTTGCTAGAGCGTGGCTATGACGTTGTTATGTCACTACTTATTAGCTGCTTGATAGGCCGAGTCAAAAGAGCCCAACCCAAAGTCTCTCTGACCTTCTAATCCAAAGATATGATCTTACAAATTTTGTGCCAATGTTAAGTCTATGGAACTTTTTTGCAGTCGATTTATCACCCGCCGGACGAACATCGTACACCCGATCGCTTATAAAAGTCATAGCACACCTCTCCTCAATAAACCGGTCAATTTGACACCTCAGGGTCTGCGACAAATGGTGCGGGAGGAGTAGCGTGCAACAGTTTAAGTATGATCAATAACAAAAGTGATGCCTTGCCTTTGGCAAGCACCACTAATAATAATTTCCATGTAATGAATGAATCTTTCAGTTTACAGACACTAAATTTATCAGTCAAGACTAAATGCAACCACATAATGTCCAGATATTTGATAAGAAATGTAGAATTCAGTCACACATTGTCAATACTCAGTGTTAAACAGTAGTCAGGCAGAACATCATAACGTCTTTGTGTGCACATTTTAATATTTCACAGAAAGCAGGAAACCAGCTCCTTGATTTTGCATATCCACATAAAAACTGCAGTGTAATAACACCTTAATATTCTTAACAGTGTGGTTTCTTCATCATTCATATTAGTGTAAAAACACAAACCAAACCAAACACTGAAAAGAAACACTGCTGGTTTGATCTCCATGTTGTCTTCGTCTTTTTTTCCATCCTCACTGTCCCTCATCCTCCTCAGGTTCTCGGAGGCCTTGGCTGTGCAGGGTCTTCCCTGTCATTTCCATCATGGCCTGTACTTCAGGATCTGCATCTAGTATGCTTTTCTTCTTCTCATCCTGTATGTCAACATCAGGAACATTTTTTAGTATCAAAAATGCAAACCCAAAAAACTACAAAATTCAGCACATTATCACAGACCTGTTCTTGTTCTTCAGGTGTCTGCCCAACGCCCCACATCTCCACGGTGTCCAGTTTAAATTCCTCGTCTCCTGAGAGCTGAGGACTGCCGTATGTAGTGCACCGTGGTCTAGCCCTGCTGTGGCCGTGTCCAAAATCGCAGTCCAACCACAAGCCGAAATAGCCATGCTGACCACCCATACCCTAAAAAAAGAGAAGTAACTATGTAGTTTTGTTTTGCTCCATGGTGTAAAGCCTTGAGCACTGTTTAATATTGATCTCACCAAGCCATTTGGCATGGTCTGCTGGCCCTGGTTCAAGTACATGTAATGATTGTTATAGCCTGTGCAGGTGAACACTCGCATACAGGGAGAAATGGAGAAGAGGAAGCACCTGGAATCGCCTAGTGCAAAAAGAAGAAAAAACATTGATTGTAATGTGTAAAGGTGTGTTCACTTCACACCATGTCAGAATTAACTAATCACGAGATTCTGACTTGTAAGCATTCATGTCCTCATAGAACTCGTAATTACAATTTGTAAACTCTGACTTATACACTCATAGAAAAAAAAAAGGTTCTATAGAACCTTAAAGGGTTCTGTCAGGCGCTTCATATATAGAGGCGCCTTTTGTAATAATTTAAGACATTTCTCCTTATTCATATAGAACCTTTTTGGTAGAGATGCACAATGTTTTGGGCAATAAAAGCAATTATTTTCACTATCGGCCATCAGTCAATTGTTTAAAAGCAGCTGATGATCAGGGCAATTATATCCTGTCAATCAAAAGGGTGCGGAAAAACGTCTTCAGACTGCAACGTATAATGTGTGTGAAGAAAATCATTCTTGTGTTGAATTTAGGGCAAGTTAACATGACAATAATGCCGTGTTAACCTATCAATCACCCGTAGTTCAATCCAGTAGTTTTCCCACGGAAGGGGGCTACTCTTACACTGTCCTTTGTTCTAAGAGTGTACCACGTGATCGATGTACCACCTGACTGCTACAAAGCCATTTTGGCGCCGATAGTGTTGCCAAAGAAACCCATCATTTTGAGTCCGAGGATGTGAACGGCTCCGACTCCAGGTTATCATCTCATTATTACCATAATTATGACATGGTGTGAACACAGCATAACATTTCATATGGTTTATTCTTTCTGAACTCACCCTGGAACTGAGGTTTGACCTCCCAGCTTTGAGACGCGAAGCCGCCAAAGATATGGCCTTTAGTGTCTTTTACCAACATGACAGTGGGACCCCGACTTTTACAGTTGCCCACCAATCGGGTGAAGCTTTCCCCGTGTTTGTCTGTGGAGAATAACAACCTCCAGGGGGCGCTGTGTCCCGCAGGTAGCTGAGGGGACAGGAACATTAGAAGAGGTAGATTCAAAAGACATCGGAGGTCACTCCAGGGAGCGTACCGACACGGGGGCAAGAGAGTTGGGGGAGGACGAGAGGGCAACCCAACTCCTAGCCCCTCACCAATCAGAAGCTCCAAAAACATGGCCATTGCTGGGATCCGGAAAAGCCAGTCTTCCAGACATGGAATGTCACACGTACTCGGATCTATTGAAGCGATAAGGACTAATTATATTAAATAACCCTCTTGCTGTGCACTGTATTTGTTAGTTAAAACAAGGTAACACTTCACAATAAGGTCCCATTAGTTAATGTTAGTTAATGCATTATTGTTAATAAAAATACAGCTGTTCATTGTTAGTTCATGTTAGCTCAGGTCCATTAAATAATATTAAAAGATACAACTTTTGATGTTGAAATTAACATTAACTAAAATTAATAAATGATTTAGAATTATTTTTTCACTGTTAGTTCATGTTAACTAATTTAGATAACTAATGTTAACAAATGGAATTATTGTAAAGTGTTAAGCAAAAAACAAATGACTAAGCATAAAACTGTAAAATATAAAAATAAAAGTTAATTCAAAATATTAATAAATACTTTAATAGTATAATACTAAAAGAACACCTCTTATTTAAGAGATTTATCCACATGGTTCACATTCACATTATTCAAAAATACACTTGATTAATTTTCATTTGAATTTAATCTAAAACAGCATTTACTGTGATTATGATACAAACCTGAAGATTTTAATTCAGAGGTCAAATGTTCTGACAGCAGTTTAACCCCTTGATGGCCATCAGCCATGCGATCGGGTTGCCAACCTCGCAGATGCCCCCTGTGGACTAGAGTCTGCACTGCCGCTGAAACCAGGTCTTCCACAAACTATTTCATAAACATTAAATTACCACAATAAGATCTCAAGAATTATTTGGAAATTGTATTGATGCCCCATTGTTAAAGTGACTTTGTGGGTTTAAATAGTCATGAGTTAGCAAACTATCCTCCGGTTTCACAGACAAGGCTTAAAGGGATAGTCCACCGTTTTTTCATATTAAACTATGTTATTCCCTTAAAGGGATAGTTCACCCAAAAATGAAAATTCTGTCAGTAATTACTCACCCTCATGTTGTTCCAACCCCGTAAGACCTTCGTTCATCTTCGGAACACGAATTAAGATATTTTTTATGAAATCTGAGAGCTGGATCACTCCTCCATACTAGTCCATAGGCTTCTTTAGGGATTGAACTTGCCGGCCTCGAAAAGTTATTAAAGACATCGTTAAAATAGTCCAAGTGACTACAGTGGCTCAATCTTAAGTTTATCAAGCGACGAGAATACTTTTTGTGCGCAAAAACAAACAAAAATAACGACTTTATTTCAACTATTCATTTCCTTCTCTTTGGCCCTCTAGTCAGTTAACGTAGTGTGATTCCGTAGAGCTACGTCACACGTAGGCTCACTATTGGCCGACGCTGGTCATGTGCGTGATGCGTGTGACGTACAACAACAGAAGCTTACGCTATTACACTAGTGAACTGACTCGAGGCCCACAGAGAAGGAAATTAATAGTTGAAATAAAGGCGTTTTTTTGTTGTTTTTTGCGCACAAAAAGTATTCTCGTCGCTTGATAAACTTAAGATTGAGCCACTGTAGTCACTTGGACTATTTTAACGATGTCTTTAATAACTTTTCGAGGCCGGCAAATTCAATCCCTGAAGAAGCCTATGGACTAGTATGGAGGAGTGATCCAGCTCTCAGATTTCATCAAAAATATCTTAATTCGTGTTCCGAAGATGAACCAAAGTCTTACGGGGTTGGAACAACATGAGTAATTACTGACAAAATTTTCATTTTTGGGTGAACTAACCCTTTAACTAAGACGAGTTGATACATACCTCTCTCGTCTCAGTGCGTGCACTCAATCGCTCTGGCGCGCGAGACAGAGTGTTTGGTCGCTTCTCTGGTTGGATCCTAATGAATGAACTGGGCTAAGCTAAGTGCTATCAAAGTGTCTCACGCGCCAGAGCGATTGAGTGCACGCACTGAGACGAGAGAGGTATGTATCAACTCGTCTTAGTTAAGGGAATAAAATAGCTTAATATGAAAAAACGGCGGAGTATCCCTTTAAGCCTAGTCCTAGACTAAAATACACATTTGAGCTGTTTTGACGGAAAGCAACTTGATATATCTTTCTTAAAATATGTCAGTGCCATTGTTTTTTTCAAAGGCATGTTTATAAAAGCTACATAAATGTCCTAATTGATCTAAGGCCGAATCTTGGCTTAATCCCTGTCTGTGATACCGGGCCTAGTTGGTTTAACTGATATTTTCAGGCCTATGTTTAACAGTGTTAATGAAATCAAATTTGGTTATTGAAATGAAGCTGAAATAAACAAAACAAAGAATCCTATTATAACTATATAACTATTAGCTGAAAAACTTAAACAAAAATTAGAAAATGTGCCCTGGCAACTAAATGAAATACGTTTATGTACTAAAATTACTAAAACTAAACTGAAATAAAAAAATTATTAAATCTATATAGAGATATTTCTATCTATAATATATAATATATATATATATATATGAAAAACTAATAAAAATGACAAAAGCACATAACATAACTAAAACGTAAACTAAAATTAAAGTGAAAACTACAAAAATTATAGTATATAACACTTAATACTGAAACCCTTTATATAATAAGATTTTGGTGATACTTACACCTCTGATCTGCTCAGCTGTGGTAGCAGTAGCCTTTGCACCCTCTGCCATTGCCAAGACCAAAGGTGCACGTTCCTCTGCAGTTCCTCTAAGAATATCTGCCAGGAAAATAACCAACTGCTCACGACTTATCCCATCACCAGGGGGCAGTGTCACTTCTGGATCAATGCTATGTATGCCATGGAATACTCTCTTTATCATTGATTCTGAGGCCATCTTTCCCATTGTCATCTGAAACAAATAAAAAGAACAGCAAAAAGTTAATATCAGTGTATCTTAAGTTTGCACAGACATGCAATCCAAAGAAAAAATGTTTGACAGATCTGCGTCTGTTCACCAGCCATAACAATTACATTATTGTTTTTAGGCAGATGCTTATTATTAAATATTCTACAATATTGTTCAACCTTCTTACAAATGACTTCAGACAACATTTAACTGGACATCAATCATTTATGATTGTCCCACTGATGGGTAAGTAATTGTGGTAGATTTAGGAATATGTGATAATTTACTAAAAATCATTTCCATGGTTTTTGAATTGTTCAGTTCAAGACAGTGTTATTTTAGTAACACTGAAATACTGTTATAGTTTTTATTAATATTTTGAATTTATTGTTATTATTTATTTTTATATTTTCTCTTTTAGTTTTAGTTAAAGTTATAGTTATTTGTTATATACATTTTATCAACTGTATTTTAGTATTAGTTATTTTAGTAAGTACATCAAGTTCAAATAAATGAAAATGACAAATGTTGTATTTGTATTGTTGGCAACTAGCTAATATAAAATAAGTTTAAGGGTTTTTTATATCTTATTTTATTTCAGTTAACATTTATTTTATTTAAGTACAAAAATATATTTGTTTTAGTTAATAATAACAGTGTAATTATTCATATAGAATAGTGTTATATAATAATAATAATAATAATACATAAATATAACATAATATGAACATTATTCATACAGAATTCAGATAACAGTGTTATCACACCGGGGCACAAAATCATTAAAAGGATAGTTCACCCACACAGGAAAATTCTGCCATCGTGAAATTTACTCACCCTCAAGTTGTCCTAAACCTGTATGAATTTCTTTCTTCTGCTGAACACAGAAAAATACATTTTGAAGAATATGGGTAACCAAACAGTTTATGGGCCCCATTGACTTCCATAGTATGGGGGAACAATTACTATGGAAGTCAATGGGGTCATCAACTGTTTGGTTACCCATATTCTTCAAAATATCATCTTTTGTGTTCAGCAGAAGTAAGAAATTCATACAGGTTTAGGACAACTTGAGGCAAGTTGAGGGTGAGTAATGATGACAGAATTTTCATTTTGGGTGAACTAACCCTTTAAGGATGTGTATACACACGCACATACACAAATATAATTCAAATGAATTAAAATGGTAGGTTTAACAGGTCTAGTTTAATGCTTATGTCACAGCTGCCCACCTTACCTTCAGCATGTCTAGGGATAAAACCTTCCCCGTTTTTCCAGATGAAGAAGCAGAGGAGCCAGTTCCATGAAGCCTGTCAAATGTCCCCTCTATAACGGGTCTCTCATCGGGACGAAAACGAGCCAGTCGTTTCTGCGCTACAACACTGTCGGTGTTCCCCATCACCCTGAAGGGAAAACACGAATGAATGTCAACTTAAATGAATTAATTCATGGAATTTAGTCTGATTGTCATGGGCACAAATGAATTCATAAAAAACATGCTTAGTTTCAGCTGCTGACTGAAACAAGTGCTCAAGGGAAACTCTGAAATACAACGCACACTTGAGTTCTGAAAAACTGAAGTGAGATTTTCAGACCTGGTTCAGTGGTTCAGTTTGACATTTCGACTCAGAATGTAAACACCTAAACACACACAAAAAATAATTTCCTGGTTCTGCACTACGCAGAGGACCAATGAATGGAGAGAAACTTCAAACCGCGCTGTGATTGGCTGGATCAGGTTGCGTCATCCGCAGAGTGATAGTTGGTTTCCTGGAGGCAAATTAGTTGGAATTTGTCACAAAAAAAATACGAACAAAGGATACTGTTACGCCAGATGGTTTGATGTGTTTGATGTTGATGTGGCTACTTTTATCTTAGTTTTGTAGATTAATATGATATTTTATTACAATTATTTACAATTAGGTACTGTAAGTATTTGTGTAATATTTAGGCCTACTTTCTGTTAATGACAAATGATGATTATATAGAAAAGTATTTGCATTACGGTTTTTTAAGACCACACAGAGAACAAAGTATACATTGGCGTTAAATTTACTAAATCAGGGGTTTTCAAACTGGGTTTAGGGGGAGTCCCAAGGGGCCACAAGTGAGTCCTATGGGGTCTGTGGAAAAGTCTGATAAACAGTGTAAAAATGTAATATTAAATAAACTAAATTTACAAAAAAAATAACCCAATAAATTAATACATAAAATAAAATTAATAAAACATTGATTAAAGAAAATCAACTGATTTTAAAAATAAATGAATAATGCATCTAAATAAATAATACACAGCACAGTAATACCACAACACAGTAACGTAATACCATAGAAACTAAATATTTTTCAAATTACTATTTTAATATTAATTTTTACAGTATAAATGTGGTATTTTTACATGAAAATATATATAGCTGGCTTTTAAATTTTAGGACGGGGCACCATGCAGGAGGATGTCCTTGACATCTGAAAGATTGAAAGACCCCTGAACTAAATTATTACATTGTCTTTCTGTTTATCCAAAGATAAAACAGCACATAAGATTGGCAAGTAGGCTAGATATATATAAATATAGGTTATATAATTAGTTCATAGCCTAGTTTTTACAGGTAGGCTCAGCGAACTAATGTCTGTGTCATTGGTAAGAGTAATGTAGTACCTCTTGTTAACCATAAGAGGTCAGACTAATACAGCTATTTAAAACAGCAGCTTTGTCTTTTCCGTGGGGCTTTACCACAGTCTATGGGCTTTACAGATCTTTCTCAACAGGCGATGAAAAACGCCTTTTAAGGGCATGAGATTCATGTGAGATCTGGGCGTGATGCTGGCTGACGCGCTGACGTTCAGCAGTCTCTTACCAGAAGTTTTAAAAGAAGCCGTTTAAGGATATTTCCGTAACCGAAACTGTTAGTTTAAAAAAAGACAAATGGAAATAGTCAAATCAGATGACCTGCAGGAAGGGATAGTATTCAATTCGATGCGACGGAAACAGAAAGACAGGCTATCACATGTAATGAATGAATGGCAAAACCTCACGGTAATGTACTGCGCATGCGCATCAATCATCCACCCAGCATGGCTTATTGAACTCCGTAGCAGTGCTCAGGGCTGAGACTCTCTACTGATGAGTGTATTCTTTACTTCTCTCGAGTCAAAGCACATACACACGTTTGTTGTATTACCATGTATGTAACCTTTTATTAACCTCTTCAGTGTCGCGCCCCCTTTTTTGAATAAACATGAAAATGCACAATCCGAACTTAAATGGTTGTAATTCAAGAATGCTTTGGAATATAGATCTAAGATTGTTCTTGTTTTAAAGACGACATTTGGCAGATTATTGCAGAAGTTAAATAAATTAAGAAAGTGAAACAGAAAAAAAGTTATAGAAGTTTGAGTTTATGAAAATGTAAAAAAAATAATTAATCATATTTTATATAAAATATATTTTTTCAAAACCTGCTGGACTCTAAAACTGCAATCTAAAACTGAAAATCAAAGCCAAAACTCTGAACAAGTTGTGTTTCAAATTTTAGGTTGATATCTCCAAAAAATGAGCTTTCAGTAAGATTTTGTTTGGGCGCAGTACCAAACTTTTTCAAGTCACAACCATGGGCAGTAATGGAGTCTAATTTATGAAGTAGGCATCCTATTCAGAAGTAGTAAGGGAAGTTTGGCATATATTGATATGAATTCAACCTCTAATAATCACATAAAAATAACATGCATGTGCGTTATATCTCGCTGCCACATCACAAATGGTGAATCTATTATTTTTTCTTTATATTTAAAACATTTTCGGACCTTTTTTTCTAAAAAATATTTAATGGATGTTATCTTTTGAACTATCGGCATGAAAACAAACTGAGGTTTCTACCATTCTTTCAGGATTTTTTCATGTTCATTGCTATTTCAAAATAAAGGTTATTATAGGTTATTATAGCTTATAGGAGTATGAAAATATTATTGTTGCAAATTGATAGATTACGGCTCTTCTGTAATTTATTTTGAAAATCAATCGCAAACATGAAAACTACAGATTGTAAGCTTTCAAATGACATATAGTTTGTCAACATTAGTTTAGGTTAGGATATTACTGTTTTAAATATGTAATGGCTATGGGTGCAACTTAAGGGGTTAACTTGTAATGTTTTTATACTGAGCTACTTCTCATATTCCTTCCCTAAATCTAGCCACTTCTTAATTTTCATTAAGACAACATTTAGTATGCTTATTAAGCCATATTTTTTGTGACTGGTTCTCACAATGTTCATAGTGATAGGCTATTTATTACATCTTAAACTTAAATCTAACCCTCAAACCTGTTGACAATATTAGATTTAAAGCATGATTTGATTTAGTCACCATGAAATCAAAATGGATGATTCTTGTGTTTTTGGAATTTTATTATAACATTTATTATAGGCTAAATGTTGAATTATTATTGTTATTATAATTCATGTCCCCTTGTAAATTTGAATCAAAATAACCCTTTGCTTGGAGCAAAAATTTTTCTCTTTGACAACAGGCGTAAAGGCGGGACAACCTCACTCACATGAGATCACAGCAATTGAAAGCCACAATGATCCAATCAATTCCTGATGGACAAGTCCCGCCTGGACGCCTTACATGATTTCACTCAGATAAACATGTATATCACAAATAAAGAAAATACTCTCGCAACCTTCATGCCAACTTTAAGCATGATAAATAATGAGCTTTTAAAATAATGAAATTTACTTCAAGTAATTTTTTATCCCAAAATTTTGAGCATTTGTAAGAAATTGACCAAAACTGGTAAAAATCGTTACTTCATGAGAGTTATCTTCAGGTAATCTTGAAATATTCAAGGTTTGTACATATTACATATGCGTAAAGGTCATAGAACATGTGAACAACAGGTTTTTACAACCTAATTGTACATTGTCACTGTGTACAGTGCAGTCTCTATTGAGCAGGTGTAAACCTCAACAATGCCGCTATTGTGCTGCAGAGTGCAGATCAATCTGCTCACAGCATGTCCATGCATAGGCCCGGCCTTTTTCACTTTTGATGTTCCTGTGATGTTTGGTGCCCATGTTCTGACGATTTGTGCTGCCCACTCAGATTTCAGATATATAGCACAAATCGATAGTGGAAAATGCTACCTATCAGATTGTACCAGCATCATATTCATGTGGTTTGAGACTTTTTTAACATCCATACATACCCCTACCCATACCCTTAAAACAATGTAAATATATTGTTGGGAGCAAAATCTGATTGCATGTTTTGTCAGTACAACCACATAGAATAAAATGTGACAGAATACAGAAAAAAGTAAACTACCTTATTTCATGAAGCATAACTACTGTGCCGCTGATGTATTATGTACTGCAATATTTGAATATGCTGCAGCTGTTTGTATTATTTGGTTTTCTTTCCTATAGATTGCCTATAGCAATCACACCACCCTTCTTTAAAATGAGTATTGCTTTAATGTGCGATGGTCACGCATCCCCATATATTTCCATGATATATGTATTTTTATATATTAATTTCTCATTATTATACATTCTTTATCTCTTGATATTTATTTATTTATTTTTAAGCTGATAAATTCTCAATAGCCTAATCTTTATCATGTATCTAACCACACATTTGCTTATTATAATATTGCATGTTAGTATGTACTTTTATTACTATTACTATTTAATTCTATAATCATTTTAAATGTATAATCATAATATAAACAATAGCAAATGTTTTATAATACAACTATTTGCATTGAAAGTTCATATTTTGTAGCTCTGTGTATTCTAACAGGCACATAACGGCAGACACTTCTTAAAGTGAAACATTGGCGGTATAGGCTAACCGTAGTTACTGTCTGTGGCACCTCCAATCTGCGAGTTGAGGCATGAGGTTTCTCTCTTTCTTTTCGACTGCTTCTTCTTTCTCTTTCCTTTATCTACCACTGTCGTTCTACAGCCCTATATGGTAAAAGTCTAGCACACTCAGTATACAGGAAATGGTGAAAACTTTAGCACCCACGCTCATGCATGCAAACACGGTTCTTTCTCTGTGGTGCTCATTTGTGTTTATGCTTAACCGCATAACTGTTATCAATACGACACATTGTTTAGTAAGGAACTAACAATTCTCTCAAAAGTCTTTGCTTCTTTCTTGCTATCGTCTATTTTTCTATCTATCCTGCCCTCATTTGCATATCATCACATGCACATTAAACAATGCCATGAGTGCCTTCATGCGTGACTGATGCCATGCACTGGTAAATCGGCTAAGAATATCAAGGGCTCTGTGTTTAAAACAAATTGCCTTTATTATCCCTTAACTCTTAACACACTCATTGTAGTATAGCTACTAATTATAATACAAACATTGACATTTATTTTCCAGTACATACAGAATTATTTGATGCACCACCTTGAAATATAAATAAACTCATACCTGCCAACTTTTGAGTTTTGCTCGGCGTGAGATTTGTTGACGACGGGGGGGGGGGGGTATAGACGAGTGAGATTTGTTGACGGGGGGGGTGTCTCGCTCGCGCCAGGTCTCTCGCTCGCTCTACGCGGTTTGGAGCACAATCTCTGTCTCGCATGCACGCTCGCTCTAGATAACGGGAGATTTTTAACGAATTTGCGGTATAACTAGTCGATCACGAGTGGCTCAACAGGTAGATATATAGATAAACTCATCTTCCAGGCATTTGACCGCCCGGGTTGACACTTCAGCGTGAGAAATCGGGAGTGTGGCGTGTGAGCGTGTGAAACCAATCAAATGCGGGTGTCTCACGGCCAATGCGTGAGAGTTGGCAGCTATGATAAACTCTTCATGAAATATGAGGTCAAATTGGATATTTTATTGTAAGGGGTGTACGTGTACTTGAGATATTTTAATTAGATCATTATTAAACAGCTGAATTTGTTTGAGACTATAAAATCTGACCTTTTCTTCTGATCTTTGCGCTTGACCTTTTATCGCATTGTGTGTATCCCTGCATTCGCTTGCAAGAAGTGGGCCTAATCAATAAATGAATCATGTTGTTATCCAGTTCATTGAACCATATACTAAAGAGCTATAGCCCAATTAAATGGACATTTCTAGTTGGCTAACAGTACAGGGAGATTGATAGATTTGTTTTGAAATATTTAAATTCAGACAGGATTTCTGGTAAGGGCACTTCCTGTTTCCTGGTTACTGTTTATATTAGTTGTATTTATGAAGCCTTGCCAGGCCTGCATTCTCATGTGCATGTTACCTTCCCTGATCATTACCGTTCAAAAATTTGGGCTCAGTAAAAAAAAAAAAAAAAGTTTTTGAAAGGAAATAATACTTTTATTTATTTTATAAGGAAACATTAATTTGATCAGAAGTGACAGTAAAGACTTTTACATTGTTACAAAACAATATTTTTAAATAAATGCAATTCTTTTTAAATTTATATTCATCAAAGAATACTGAAAAATAAATATCTAATGGGTTCCACAAAAACTTTTTAACATTGATGATAATAAGAAATTTTTATTGAGCACCAAATCAGCATATTAGAATGATTTCTGAAGGATCATGGGACACTGAAATAGTGGAATATTCCCTGGAATAACCAGCTTGACCTTTACATGAATCAATATTTTAATATATTTTTTGAAATAGGTACAAAACATTTATATACTGTTTTTGCTGTATTTTTTATCAAATAAATGCATCCTTGGTGAGCATGAAGGCCCCTTCACACCAAGAACGATAACTATAAAGATAACTATATTAGCGTCCAGACCAGTGGACGATTTCGTTCTGTTTATTATAACCTCGTGCTTTCCAGACTACCAATTTGCATCTCTACAAAAACAAACCTTCACAAAGCTCTAGCACATTCAAGAGGGGGCTGAATCCAAACCACAAATGAACATATAATCAGCGAATGATTGGATGCTCTTGTTCTAAAGAAGAGCGTATTATTTTATAAACGTAAAAATATTGCTGTTTTCAAATATCTCCAGGACTTTCAACATTTATGGTCAAGAGCAAATGAGAACATTGCAAGTTGGATTGTTGGGTACAGTGCTGGTGATGGCGACCCTACTATTGGCCAGCAGGTTAGTGACAATTGGACCACTGAGCTAGGTTTGGAGCGCATCTTGTTAGCTCATGACAATGGCAGCACTGTGCCAGAGCCTGAATGGTTCACAGGAACATTGCGAAGTGACCCATTCACTCACTCAATGGGCTCCCCTTTCTCGCCCCAGTAAAATCCCATCTTCCTCTTCCCCCAATGCTAGACTCAACCGAACTAACTAGCAATGTATGTAAACCATGCTCTCAAACCATCTTCATGTCATTGCGCTAGATATCCTGTACCTTTAGTCCCATAAAATGTAAATAAAGGTGTTTGTATTTAAACAAATTGAACAAATTTCCCTTTGCCAACACCTCTAAAGCATCAGAAAGCAAGCAATAAGGCAAAACAGCAGAACTTTGTGTGAACCCTGCTCTCCATTTGGGTTCTTCCTGTTAATGAAAGGTTAACAGAACACTGTGTTTGTTCTCATCAGACTCCTCCTACTTGCTTGATGTATAGTAAGTAATTGGCAATCAAAATAGATTTGAAGCCGCTAACCAATTTATTATGCAATGTACATGACTGACTCATTTGGTGACTGTAAGATTCAGTCACCAAAATCTTACAGAGTCATACTTTAAAAGAAATTCATTCTTAATACTGTTTTGATCAAAAGTGACGGTAAAGACTTTCATATTGTAAAAACAAATGCTGTTCTTTTGAACTATCTATTCAGAAGCACAACTGAATAAAGTAAGTTATTACAACAAATAGTGTATTAGAAAGATTTCTGAAGGATCATGTGACACTGAAGACTGCTGAAAATGTAGCTTTGCGATCACATGAATAAATTACATTTTAAAATGTATTCTAATATATTTTAAACAGTTATTTTAATAGATGGAAATTTACGGTATTTTTGATCGCATAAATGCAGGTTTGGTGATTGTAAGAGACTTCTTTCAAAAACATTTTAAAAATGTTATCGACCCTTGACTTTTTAACAATAGTGTACATTTCTGTTTTGTAATAATTATCCAAAAACAATCATCACATGAATGTGTGTGGGGTATGAAATACGCTTGAACTGGGAGGCCTCTGGAATGCAGGAAGGATCCGAGCAGAATAGCTGGCACTGACTTCCTTGTGAACAAGATGCCAAAGAATCTTCAGAAACATGTCTACACACACACGCACACATTCTTTCTCTCAAACACACATTCTGTATTACAGAAAGTTGCACAAACGCAAGCAAACAACGCTGGAGTTGTCAGAACACGTAAGCAACTCAAAGCCCCACAAACAGGCAGGGAGATAAAGATAAGGACTAGCCTGTCTGACTTGTGTGACTTAAACATGGAATTCTTGTTGACAAGATCAATACAATGCCTGTTTCCCTGTGTCAGGAGAGACTAATTAACATTCACATCTAATTTATCTCATTAAAGTCGTCCCCAAAGTCACTCAGCAACACCTGCTACAGTTCTCAAGCCATTCGAGTGAAGATCTGTTACAAACACACAGTTCATCTAGGTGCAGTTTTTAGTATGTTGTAAAGCATTTGCAAGGTAGTTTCTTGGCTCAAGTAAAAAAAAAAGTCCACCCACAACTATGAATGCACTTATGTAAACAGATATTCAAATTAAATACTATTTTGTTAAAATTAAATAAATATAAAACACTAAAATCAAACCTGCTTTCACTGACAAGTCTTAAACCTAGCCCCTGACTAAAATGCATGTTTGAGCTGTTTTAACTGAAAGAACCTTGCTATGACATATCTTAAAATATGTCAGAGCCATTGTTTTTTCTCAAGATGCACACTAGTAATGTTTTTTCTCCCCCAAGGCAAGTTTATAAAAGCTACTTAAATATCCTAATTGAACCAAGGCCTAATCCAAACCCTGTTTGTGAAACCAAGCCTAATGACCGGTTTTACAGACAAGGCTTAAGCCTAGTCCCAGACTAAAATGCATGTTTGAGTTGTTTTACCTGAAAGAAACTTACTCTAACATGTCTTAAAATATGTCAGTGCCATTGTTTTGTCTCAAGATTTAAGCTACTTAAATGTCCAAATTGAACTAAGGCCTAATCCTGGCTTAATCTAAACCCTGTCTGTAAAACCAGGCCTAAATGTTTTAAATGTTAAAAACGAAAATTCTAAATATTTTTGTTAAAACTATGATTTCACCTTGATTTTCAACAAAAAAAAATATTTGAAATAGAAATCTTTTCTAACATTATATGTGTCTTGGCTGTCACCTTAATGCGTCCTTGCTCAATAAAAGTATTAATTTCTTTAATCAAATAGTAATAAAATAAAGAAAAATAGTAACACTTTAGTTTAGGGTCCAATTCTCGCTATTAATTAGTTGCTTATTAGCATGTATATCACTAGGATATTTGCGGTTTATTTATAAAGCACATACTAATGCCTTATTCTGCATGACCATATTCTACATCCCTCAATCCTATACCTAAACTGAACTACCATAACTATTAATAAGCAGAAATTAGGCATTTATTGAGGCAAAAGTGTTAGTTAATAGTTAGTTCAAAGTGAGAATTGGACACTAAACTATAGTGTGACCTAAAATTGTGAAAATGAGCATGTGCAATTAAATATACATTATAAACAATACCAATGCATTTAATCCTTTTATGTCTTTAAATGCACATCTCTCCTATCGTTCATGTCAAGCACAACCAGTACAGGCCAAACTTGGGCTTAGCAATACTTAGGTCTACTGACCCAATTTAACCAACTATTAACACAACACGAACACGCGCAGATCTTCCACAGGACCCAATTTCAGTGTCTACATTACTGCCTCACGTCTTTCTGTGCTACCAAAACTCAGCGTCATAAAAGCAGCCTGGAAGAAGCTTATAGATTATGGATTAAGCAATTATGCAGTTGGGATCACATCTGTTGGACTAAACGCAAGGCAGGGAGAGTAAGAAGGACGGGGGGAGAAAAGAAGAAAAGAGGTTACAACAGAGGGGGAAAGGGGGGTGGGAAATGTTTTTGGGGGGAGAAGAGAGACCATTATTGACAGGCTTTGGAGCAGAGCAGCTTGACCGCAGCGGTGGCCATGACAACCCCTGGGACTCCCCCATATGCCCCCTGGGATTGTTAGGATTCGTGCAGAGGAGCAGTGCCGTGCCAAGCGGCTTGCATTACCCAAGCGGGGGCAGAGGCCAACCCACAGCGCAATAACGTCAAAGAGTATCGCAAACAAAGCAAAATATAACACACAAGGACAAGTCTTGAAAAAACAACAATTTTATTCTGACATGATTGCTTTTGTGACCATCGTATTTCTTGTCTTGGCTCGGGAGGCATTTTTATTGTAAAGGAAGAACCACAGATTTGATTTTTTAAATGTAAATAAAACCTACTTAAAAAAAAAAAAAAAAAAAAGATAACATTGTTTTGTGGGTATTTTAATGTGATCCAAAATGAAGGCTACACTAGAGAAATGGCTGCTCCATTGTTGAGTAAAGAGAAACAGCCAATCACAGCTACAAGATCCTTTAAGACTCCACCCCCTGCATGCAAGTTAGCCAGTCACAGTGCAGTGTCTGCAAACACACACATACACAAATGCACACATTCCATGATGTCTTCCTCTCCATGGGAGATTGAGACAGTAAACACAGTGGTCTGTTTTAGAGGAGTCAGCAGGGAGATGAAGATTCATAATAAACCCCTTAAATAAAACAATGCTGGACTCGTATGCCCTCCATTGATTATGGAAGCATATCACAGTGATGACAACTCTGAGCCAAGGGAGCATCCTCAGAAATTCTGATTACAGTTACAAAAATGCACAAAAAAAAAGAAGAAAGATAACCCTCATAAGCACTAGCAGAGATGACATTGAGATGATGCACAATACAGTAGATAAATCAACCATGCCCAGACTGGCAATAGGGGTGAGGTATGTATATTTGCGTTTGTCTGTGTGTGTATGTTTGTCTGTGTGTGCATGTGTACAAGATGACGTTTTCCCCTTCCTTCTCATCCAACCCTATGGAAACCCGTCCCCAAGTTCTATTCGGCCTGGGCGTCGTAGTTGGCCCCGCCGGCCTTCTTCAGCTCATTGCGGAGGTAGTCTTCCTCCAGCTCCCGGGGATCGCTGATCATAAACTCCTTGGCAAAGTTCTGGATGGAAAAAGGACAGAAAACACACTATGAGCGATGGAGGCACAGGACGTGAGATTGTTTGCATGAGCGCACCGATTTGTTTACAGTGAAAATGAACATCGTTATCTGCGTGTCTGGGTGTGTCAAATTTTGTAAATCTGAGTCAGAAAATTTGCATATGGCATGAGGGATGGCGTAAGAGAAAATGAAAAGACCCACCTGCACGATGTCTTTTACCAGTGTCTTGTCGGTGCTAATCTTAGCTCTTTGCAGTCCGCTGATGTTCTCGCCAATCCAGGTGATGAGGGTGAACTTGGCACGCTTGCTCATGGCGTCGCCCGTCGTGATCCTCACGAAACCAAAGAGACGGGCGTCATCTTAGAGTCAGAGAGAAAGCAAGGAGGAAGCTTAACAAGGAGGATGCCGTGCCATTTCCTTGAATATTGTTTGTTTCTTTTAGGACTGTCAATTGATTCAAAATAGTAATCAAATTAAATACATAATTAAATTAGTCACATACATATCAAAATTGGTTGAAAAAAGCCTCTAAATTAAGATAAATCAGACCTTACTCTGGTAGACAAGAACAATATTGAATATACATACAAAAAGTGGTTTTAGAAGTCAATATTGTTATTTTTATTTAACTTCTTTTTTGAAACCGGTCAGTTTTTCTTCAAACCTATTTGCCACAATTTCCACACAATTATTTCCCCAATTAAAAAGGGAAATAACACCATCGGTGCTCTGGCCCTAATAACACATAAAAAAATTGCACAATTGATATATATTTTTAAAACAATATTTGAATAGATAATAAAAAGTAAAAAATAAACCTATAGTACACTGACATCCACTTTGCCACTAAGTTTGTCAATGTGTCAAATATCTCTGTATGCCTTGGGTCTGTATTTTTGCATGCTTCAAATAATTGTGCACAATAAAACCAGGAACGTGAGTAGGTAAGTAAATAGGATCGAGTTTGATTTCATGTTGACTTTAACATTAACATTACATGTGCTTCTTTAATGTCTCTCTAGTTTAGCTGAACTTTGTCTGTTTTTAAATAACAAGGAAGAGCTTAGATTCGAATAAACACTGTCCCCATTGTAGCAAGTGTTTTGAATCTACACTATTGCATTGTTTTCGTTTCCAGAAAAAGAAGTCACAACATAAAATGTAATCTGAGCGCATCACGTGCGAGCGGTGGACGAGGCTGAGAAATTTAAGCTCTATGACATCACATGACATGAAAAACAAGGAACAGAGTAAGTGGGTGAGGAAAGGAGGTGATCTAGTTTACCGACTCCATTGATAAGGGTGTAATAATTCATCGGTAACACTCCCAGTCTCTCACAGCTTAACAGCTGGCCACTTCCTCCCAAATGTGCTACAACTGCATTGCAGTGGCACTAGGACAAGATTCAAAGATAACATCAATTGCTCCTAACTCTGCCGTGCCTCTGTTTAGACACTGACAGTATCAGAGATAGCATTATGCGGAAGAAAGCACTCACTAAACCATTTATTCACATATTAATGATACACACCTTTGCACTCTGTTCTCTATGTATCTGTGAATATAGTTCTGCTGAAACTTCTGCTTATCCCTAACAAGTATAGCAATAAATGTACACACATTCTGATGTGTATATATATACACACACACACACACACACAGTACATATAACTTATTTAAACAAACTCAGACAGATAGACAGCTAGACAGACAGACACAATAGACAGATAGATAGACTTTCCTGGAAAACCAATGCCACGTGAATTCCCTTGGTACTACTTGAGACTGATAATATCTGGTTTTCTGTTGTTGATTAACTAGGCTTAAGGTTTAAGAAGCTAAGTCAGGGAACCATGGGTAATACTGTCAGTTGTATTTGGCACATTGACTGTTAAGGTTTCAAGAACAAAGTGGATGGTGAATCTAAATCACATTATAGAGACCTCTGCTGTATTTCAATAGAACTGAAACCTTAAACAAACCGCATTTAGGAAGTGAGCAGTGGTCATGACTCATGAGTCAACATGCTAACAGTCAACAGAGGGAAAGCATGGACTCTAGTAATAAAAAAAAGAAGAAGAGTTGGGCTGTCTTATTTCACGATTGCGTGAAAACACAGCGAAATGTGGCAATGATTCCATGCACTTTTACTTCCTCTTGTGCATATGCAGGACATTTCTGAAGAACTCACTTCCAGAAAGTCAGTGTATTTGTGCTGACTACTACATGTGTACTCTTTACTTCCAGGCTGCCAGGCTATGATGATGCAGCAAAAATAAATATTTAAAATACTAAACGTGTTAGACATCACCTAAAACTCAAGCTTTATATATATATACAATGATATACAAAATTTATTATTTTTATTAATGTGACCCGCTCTTTAATTTTTAGCCACTTTGACCCAAAAACCCATTTTGAGTTTATGCACTACAGTAAAAAGCTAAATTTAACATGAAAAAAGAAACAGAACACAAATGTACGCAATGAAAACTCATTCTTCACCCAGAGAATAAAGTCAGGATAACTCATTATGCTACTTCCATACACTTTATGATACCTCTTGATAAAGCAGCAATCTTTTCATATTGTCCTGTCTACTGTAGCTTTTTAGAGGGGATTGCAATGCTCATATACATAGAAGATTCTCCAACTACTCAAGAACCTACAAAAATATATTTATTGCTGGGTTAAACAGTTTATGGGCAGCAGCTACAGCACAAATAACTTTTCTGTTTGGATTTAAACATTAGTAAACTTGATGACTAAAGTTGTCACAATGTATTCTCCAGCAAAATAGCTTATTGTAACATGATACTGCTCCATAAAGGAAGACACATCCTTGATCATCTATCAGAGCACAATGACAGAAGCCAAGGTATTGCAACACTTGTAGAAGTTTACATCTGCTAGTGGCTACACAATCCACTCATGGAGACATAACTGAGCACCACACCCAAATCTCTGTTCATTAAGGATGACAGAATGAGAGGGGAGAAATTACATCATTTCATTTTCTCTGTGGAGCTAGACAGTTATTTACAGTTAGAAAATATACTTCATGCAGTATAGTATACTAATTCACTGTAGCTCGTTAGATCCCAAAACCACATTAAATTAGGCATCAAGTTGAATATAATGAGATCTGTTGATTAATCGATTACTAATACAAATGTGTTTGTATTTAGTAAAAACCTCTCAATAAACATCTTACCAGTAGCTCACCCTCTTGCCATGTCATCTAGGACAAGTACAAAGCCATATTTGGTATGGTCTACCTTGGAATATAATTACTTCCTAACATGTGATATGCAGAACTTAAAGTGACAGTGCACCCCAAAATGAAACCTCTGTCATCAATCACTCACAGTCATGTTTTTTTCAAACCTGTAAGAGTTTTTCTTCTGTGAAACTCAGAAGGGAAGGTTAGAGCCTGTAAGACTCAGTCAATATCCACTTTCATTGCATCTTTTTTGATTGTAAGTGAATGATGACTGACTGAGTCAGTCCCTAACAAGTAAGAAAGGAAGTCATGTTTGGAACCACATGTGGTGAGTAAATTGGGGGGTGAGCTCTCCCTTTAACAACTGATTTAGTAATTAATTGCAACTGCTTTCAAAAATACCTTACAGTCCTCCCAACATAAAGCAGGTAGGCCTAAATAAGAAAATGAACTCACCTGTACACTGACTCTTGAATTCTTCGTAGTCGGACCCGTGACCAGCTGGTACAATAGTAGATCCGTCATACTTAAAAGATGCCCTTTAAACAGAAAATGTATATTTTAACTGTTGCCAAAACGATGGAAGGGTCTTAACATTTAGCAAGCAGCCAACCTAGACGTTTTTTTGGGGGAAATGCTAGTCTCTAGGGTGCAGAGAATATTTTGAGACACTGCCCCTGCCCAGGGTTAAAAGACCCATCCCTACATGTTGCACCACATACATACATTCATTCATTCATTCATTCATTCATTCATTCATTCATTCATTCATGTCATTTATCAATTAAAAACAGCGTTAAACGGTATCATTTGATAATTCAAATTGTTGAAACAATGTAACGAGTTTCGCAAGCACACGCCAGACAGCCCATATCTGGATGTGCAGCAAATCAAGGCTTACTCACCAGCATATATCTGAGCCGTCGTCTCGCACCAGATTGTATGCTTCTCTGCAAGCCTCTTTGTCAATTCGCGTTGCCATTTCGACGATGCAAAGGGAGATAATGCAACTAAATGCAAAACAAAGCCGGGGGAATGAAAGAAATCGCAGATAAATCCCAAAGTGCGGCAGAGGTTGCTGCTGGTGTGACAGGGAGGTCTCTTCTCTCAGTAGGATGGAGAGGCAACTAATTTCACGACTCGATTCATTTCCTATTGCCTCTTAATGGGCGTTAGTGATATTTGTCTGTCAGGTTGCTGTTCCAGTGAATCAGAGAGCTTTTCACCTCCTAATGGCCAACCTGGGTATTGAGCTACATTAAATCCACCCAGTTTTGTTCTGTCATAACATTTGGTCTGAGTTACTCTGCCATCTTGTGGACCTGGGTTCATCCTGACGTTGCTCTTTTCGGTAATATTTGGATTAGGCTACAACGAGAATTACCATGGGTTATAGTGCAGCAAGAAATGTAAAATTTCACCCGAAAATAAAACATAACATAAAATATTAATATATATAAAAAAAGTTTACAATTATTTGCATGGTTACAATAAGCATATCCCTTTCCTTGAAATTCTCATTCAGAATAAAATGAATTTCAAAACAACGGCCTAGGCCTATTATCATGTTGCATAGCCTACACACTTAAAGATAGATAGATAGATAGATAGATAGATAGATAGATAGATAGATAGATAGATAGATAGATAGATAGATAGATAGATAGATAGATAGATAGATAGATAGATAGATAGATAGATAGATAGATAGATAGAATAAATAGAATTGAAGCTTAAATAGGCTAGGCTTCTGTGAGTTTACATTTGAATTTTTGACAGTTTAAGTTTGAAGGGTTGTGAGTGTGACTCATTTGAACATTGCATCGTCTATGTGATTTTGGGGAGTTTTGATCGTCGGCTTGAGAAAAACCGTAAGTCGGACCAGTCAGAAAAGATAGGCTATTTTTGTCGAGTTTGGTGGTAGCTTGTCGAGTCAAGAAATTTGGTCTTAGAAATGATTATATCACCATAATAACAATAAGCTTAAATAGTAGATCAATAGGCCTATGTTGGCTTTGTCAAACCAATATAGCCTAATAACACAATTATTTTAACATTACAATAGGCTAATAATAATAATACATTTTATTTATAGTGCGCTTTTCTAAAACCCAAAGCGCTAATTAAGCTAGCAACTAAGCGCTAAAACCCAAAGGGTTATTAGCTAAGTTACTATTGTAACGTTTTAATATAGAAGAGATGATCAGTGAGCCAATGTACCATATTGTTATTATTATTATTATTATTATTAGTAGTAGTAGTAGCAGCTAGTAGTATGTAGACACTGCAGTCTGAATTTCTTCAGGGCGAAATTGAGCACACAAAAAAACTTTTATTTTGAAATAAAGGTCAACACGGAAGAGAGAACTCGGCTTCACTGTTCCAGGGTCAAAATAACTTGTTTATAGTCACGTACGGGTATTTAACTAGTAGTTAATACAGACAAAGAATGGAAAAATGGTAAAAATAATATCTGCATTTGACTGTAAGGTTGTTGTCTAAGATGTATCGATAAAATAAGTAAAATTAAATTGAATATCAGTAAAACGTAATCACGAGTTATTGTGCATGTGTAAATGCCCCTTTCCTTTTGTATTCAGCCTTTGTCTTTTTTACTATGTCTGTTCCTGTTTTGTGCGTTATATAATTGTATATTATACGTGGTTACATTTAATTACTCCCGATACATTTTTTTCACGATATTTTGCAGAGAGTCCAATGGCAGGTGACACAATGGACATTGGAAAGCAATCTCGTCTTTCACGTCCTCACAGAATAAGTGAATATTCAAAGGTATGCATAACAGTAATGTTGTTATGGTTAACTAAAATTATTAAAATCATTTTCGATGATTGAAATAAAACCGCAATAAAATATAACTTAAAAATCTTGAATGAAAACTAACTTAAATAAGTTGAAGTACTAAAATGACTAAAACTGATATAAAAATAAATTAAAACTAAATAGAAACATTAAAAAAATAATATGACAAAAGCACATAACAAAATTAAAACTGAAGCTAAAATTAAAACAGAAAATATAAAAATAAAAGCTAATTAAAAAATATGAATAAATTCTATAATAGTATAGAAATAATAATAAAATAACTGATGCACCACCCTGTCATACTTTGTTTTAACTTTTTATAAATAATAGTTTTTCAATAATAATTAAAATTCTTAATATGAAATAAACATTTATTGTTACTCAATTATTGATTCTCAATGATTACATTATTAATAAAAGCAATACTTTTTCTTCTTTTTATAGTAAGTTAAAGGTAAGGTAATCATCTACTTTCACACGAAATGAAGTCTCCTGTTATATCAGTCTGCTAGAAAACGTTTGTATTCTTCAAGGAGTGGGCGTTTTTATGAGCGCCACCATGATGGACCATGTTGACGTCACATGACTAGCTAACAAACCTCATGCACACAGGTGTCAGTATAAAGTCTTAAAACACTGGGATGATAAGAGTTGAGATAAGAAAAACTGCACATTTTATATTTAATGAATCTTGTAAAAAATCTGTTACAACAAGTGTCTTGAAACTATCATGAACTAACTAACTCTGATGCACAACAGGTGTATCGATGGGCAGACCAGGCTAACTACCTCCTTCAAGGGTTAAATGAGCAAAGACAGCATGGCCAGCTGTGTGATGTTGTTCTGGTGGCCGATGACCAGCGGATCCCTGCACATCGGGCTTTGCTTGCGGTGTCCAGCCCCTACTTCCAGGCGATGTTCACCTTGGGCATGCGAGAGGAACACGAGGCAGAGGTAGAGCTGGTGGGAGCCTCATACGTTGGTGTTAAAGCAGTAGTGGACTTCCTGTACAGCGGAGAGTTACCACTCGATGGTGGAAACATTGACTACGTCCTGGAAACTGCTCACTTGCTGCAGGTGTGGCGAGCTGTAGATTTCTGTTGCCAATATCTGGAGAAAGAGGTACGTGAGGACAACTACTTGTACCTTCAGGAGCTTGCCTTCCTTTATAGTCTAGACCGTCTGGATGCCTTCATAGATCGCTTTATTCTGGAGCATTTCACCACGCTTTCCGTCACATCCGAGTTCCTCCAAGACGTGCGGCTGCCCAAGCTTTGTGCTTACCTCGCAGATGAGCAGGTGCAGCACGAGAATGAGCAAGCTCTTCTGCAGGTCACCTTGCAGTGGTTGAGTCAAAGACCCGAACGTCTTGCGTTCGCCCAGCAGCTTCTCTCCAACATTCGCTTAGCTCTCATCCCGCCAGATGACCTCATAGGGCGCATATTGCCAGCCATACGTTCCCTGCTGCCTCCGGACGCAGGCTGTGAGCCATTAGTGGAGGAAGCAGTGGGCTACCACACGAGACTGAGCGCCCAACCTGTTCTCCAGACAACACGCACAGGCCTTCGAGGAGGTGTGGAGCGCCTGTTGTTGGTGGGAGGGGAGGTATCTGAACGTGGAGAGGAGTTGAGTGCCGAGGTGTGCTGGCTGGATGAAGAAGCAGGAAAGTGGGTTGTCGAGACACAGCTGCCAGCTCAGAGAAGTCACCACTGCGTTGCCGTTTTGGGGGGATTTATCTTTACTGCAGGTGGGAGCTCCTCGCGGGACAATGGGGGAGATTCTGCAAGCAACTTGCTGTATCGATATGACCCCCGAAGCAACGTGTGGGTTAAGGTAATGAGCTTCACTACTGACAGTTTAAAAAGTCAGCCATGTTTAAGTTTCAACCGCAGGGCTCCAGACTATGGCTAATCACTCTTTATTTTCATTTTTTTTTTAATACATTTATTACTATTAATTATTTTTATGTGTTTATTACTACATAATTTTGTCTTCATCCAAACTCAAGAACAATGATTTACTGTCAAATGTGTACATTTATGGGATAAATAGAGAAGAAATGCTGAGAATTCTCTGTGTGTGTGTGTGTGTGTGTGTGTGAGAGAGTGTGTGTGTGTGAGTGCATTGTTTAAGGGTATTAGGTGCTTAAGTGCTTGTGAAAGAAGTGCGTCTTTAGCTGCCTCTTGAAAAATGGCAGTGGTTTTGGGTGGAATTTGGCAGCTCATTCCACCAGAGAGAAACCAAGAGGGTGAAAGTTTTGGACAGTGACTTTGAGAAGGAACAAGAAGACGTCGCTCATTCAGTGACCTTAGCTGGTGGGAGGGAGTATAAACTTGTAGGAGAGAATTGAGGTGCTGTTCCAGTGGTAGTTCTGAAAGCCTGTGTTAAAGCCTTAAAGGGGTCATATAATGGTACATGTACTTTTACAAGTTGATTGTACTGAAATGTGTGTTGGCAGTGCCTGTACACAACCATCATATAATGATAAAAATCCATTTTTTTTTTTAATCTCCTTATATGTTTTTCCCTGTCTCAAATCGAGCCGTTCAAACCGTGTGACGTCACGCGGTCGGACGCCCCTCCCACGATTGTTGATTGACAGCAGCGTTTCAACACAGACCCGCCCTGAGCGAGCTGTCATCATAGTCCGCCATTGTTGATACACTGGAGCAGAATGGCGTCTAAGCGATTGTGGTGTTCTGTTCTTGGGTGTAATAACGAACACAGCAGTCATTTTGATGTTCCTAAATCCGAACCGCTGAAGACGCAGTGCCTGAGTTTTGTTTTCGAAGGGAATATTCCCCACGATCAACGTCAATGCTTTCATGTTTGCACGAATCATCTCAGCAGACTGCTTTATAAACGAGGGTCAGTATAAAGCTGGTTTTGCTAAGAGGCTCCTGAAAAAAGAATCGGTACCAACTATTCGTGTTCCTGCTGCACCTCCAGAAGAAGTGAGTGTAAAGTTTTATTAACCTTTATATTAATCTTTGCAAATCGCTTGCACGCTTCACGATGAATGCGGCTAAGGTTTACACTCAGGGTACTTACGGCATGTTTTCTATGTACGATGTTCTCAATATAATTCATAATCCCACGTTTATACTGAACAACGCGTTATGGTTATTGTGTTATTACAAACTGTGTACATATAAGTTACATCAGTAAACGCATAGCGGTCGTATCTCACTACTCTACCCTGCCAATACATACAAAGATAGGTCAAAGTGACATTACGTTAACCAACCATTCAGAAACGTCCTGTTCGAGCCTTAATTGTCGAACTTCTTCGGTGCCGTCATCTTGTTCCAGGTCCGACTCCGGTTCAAACTGATACGGTTGCACAGATGTGTCCTCAGAGACTCCCGCTGCCAT